ATCAGTTTAACTGCTCAAATGGTTTTATAAGAATGAAAATAGTTTGGCAACTTTACATTTATGTGCTATTATTAGTAATACTACATTGTACTGCTGCATTGTTCCATTTTGTAATGTTAATCACTCTGCCAAGGAGGTCACAGTTTGTCTTCATTTCTCTTTGTCTTTTTGCAGGATTACGCAAAAAAAACGACTAAACCAAAGTTCTTGAAATGTATTGGAAGGCAGGGGTATGGGCCAAAGCTTAAAATGAAGAACCCTTGAAATTCTAGTGCAGATGCAGATTAAGGAGGCAGGTTTAATTGTTCTATAAAATTGCAACATAGGGCATTTGTTTTGTTTTTGTTAATATTTCAGGGATCCACAAATATTAATTTAAAAAAATCAGTAATATTTAGTCAGTCTATATTAATGTGTATAGAATTTGTCAAAGATCCAAATGAATGTCTAAATCCAGCAGATTTTAATATCTTTATAGGGGTGGTGGTCTTTTGTCAGCCTTATAATAATGTTATTTCTCGTAAAAATATATGTTGCATCGGCTTTCATGTTCATGTGTCATTGCAGTTTTACCTCAACGCTTGATAATCGAGAGTGACTAGGAGGATAAGAAGATGTGACAATCATCATCATCACCACTGACATTGTTGTTCTTTATCAATGTGTTTTCAGTGTTTGCCCTCATGACAAATTATTTATCACTCATGCAGCCCTCAAAGCCTGGAGCTCAGTCAGCACAGCTGAGTCTTCAAGATGCACATGCACAAACACACTCAAAAACAAATAATTAGATATCTGGGGATGTGAGAAATCCCTCTTAACCTTCAAAACTAGTCACTAAAATGATGATGGCTGTTCCTTGTGCCTCTGGGGTCTTATTACACTCATGTTATCTGCATCTCAAGAGACTCTAATCGATTCATTAATCAATTCTGTGACTCCCTCTGTGGTCCACCACCTCTGTTCAGGTCAGGGTAGAGGAGCAAGGACAGTGGTGATCTCTACATACGCACTGTTCTTACTCCATTGATTTTGATCAGTTTGAAAACATGACAGAGAGGGACAAACAATAAATAATGATATGACATAATAAACAATATGTGCACACAGTTGCTAGTTTAGTATGTACAATTAGCTGAAACTCATGCAGTGTGATAAAGTAGCACTGTAAATTAATTAAGGTGAGAATGTTTAGTTTTTGTAGAAACTGATTTAAAGAGGTGTTTCAGAAGATGCACGATTTGTCATCACAGGATGCACTTTACAGCAAAGTATGGTTGTCTAAATAGTAAATGATTACTTAGAGTAATTTAATATTTAGAGCAGCACCCAGATATTTAACCCTAATCATTTTTCTGTTTAGGGTTTTACTTTTTACACAATACTTGCAGTTAATCATTAGTCTTTATTCCTGGACCTAAAGCTGATCGTCTCCTCCACCAAGGAGGTTTCGTTTGTGTGTGTGTGTGTGTGTGTGTGTTTGTTAGCAGGATTACCACAGACGGAATCCATTTAATTTGGGTGCGGATCGAATCAGGGGACAGATCAAATAATTTCTTACATTGTGAGATCGGGCACTTCTCAACATTCTAATAATTCATGGATCTTGATGAAAAAAATCTGACCTGTTTAGGGGACTAATATTTATGAGTGTGTGCTATTTGGTGCAGATCCAAATAGAAATCCTGATCTAGTGAATTGAAATGGTTTCATAAGGGGACTGTGGGGCGTTGTCGGAGGTATGCACTGCACTGAGAGCCATTTTAGTCTCTAACTGAGTCAATCTATTACTTGCATGGAGTAAATCAGTGGTATCAGATGACCTGAAGGAGATTTTCTAGTCTATGACCCTAACTAACACTTCACCTCTGCCCCTCAGCGTCGTCAACAATGATGCCCCAATGTCTTTAATCAAACCTGTCCGATGGCAAGAGCTCTGTCCCTCCGTCTTCTTTACACATGATGGACGTGAGTCCGAATTTCACTCTGTTTGTTTATCTGTTAACGTTAGCTTGATGTTCTGAGCTGAACAATCAACACCGATGAAAAGGTAAAGCTAACATTTCTTTTATCTCCAGTACAGACTTTCAAATTGTCTCTACGCAAACCTAAAGACACAGCAACAATCAGACACAAAGACACACAAATGAGAGGGCACTAGTGACGTATTTGAGGCCTCATCACTACCTTGGTAACATTATCCAGTGGACACACAGAGGCAGTTAAAAACTGGCTATAGATGACCTGACACAGAAATAGTGTCTGGGCAGCCGAGCAGCTTTCGTGTGACAGTCTGGGCCATTACGTAGATGAGAGCCAAACAAAACAACATCTCTTTATTCCCTCATTTATCACAGACCTGTGGGTTTCCAAAGCTCAGAGAGAAGAGGATACAGAAGACTTTAAAAAAAGAAACAAGTTCCAAGGTGCCTGACAGCCGTCATCCCTCTGGATATTTGGATCTATTTGTTTCGGGACTGGACAGGGTTCAGGCAGAAGTAGATCTTACTGCACTCTGAGGGAGTTTGAAGAGTGAGAAATGAAGCCTGCTGTGCCAACAGAAGTGAGAATAAGGACAGACAGCAAGGAGGTAAGTTTCTGAAACAAGCTCATCACAGTAAATATCACTTTTCATCACTTTATTGTTACTGTATGACTTTATATGAAAGTAAGAATGGAGTTTAAATGAA